TTCACCACCACGGCTCTTATGGTGGAATAGCAGTTTTCAAAGAGACTAATAAGCCTGTGTTCACTCAATTAATTTGAATGAGGGCTAAATCTTCAGACTCACACATGGAATTCCATGTTCTACCCCATCAAAAGTTACAAAAATCACTTGTGGTTCTTTTTCCCAGAGTGACGGGAAAGGAACAGGAAATACTGTCCTCAAACTATTCCACATAAAGTCAGTAAAGATAGCACCAGTCTACTGTGTCATTGCTGAGGCACACTAAAAATTAATGATGAGGACCAGTAATGGTTTTCTCTTACCTTCGCTAATGGTTGGGAACCGGGAGTGTCTGTGATGATGTCTGGGGGTGTGTGTGGGTGGAGACTCTTGCCGCCACCGCTACCGGTTTGCCCGAACCAGGGCAAACTAGCAGTATACCACCTCTGATGAGGACAATACATATTTTTCTGCCCGTTCAGGAGAAAATATAGACATTACTCTCAGGCCCACACTTCTTGAGACTTCTTGAGGTTATCAAATCTGAGATTATTTGGAATGGAGATTGCTCGTGTGCATATTTACACATAAATGGTAAGAAGTAATCATTTAAAGCAGTGTTTCTCAACCTTAGGAACTTTAAGATACATAAAGGTCAGTTCAGTATTGATTGACTTCATACTCATTACAGGAATTAGTACATTCAAAAGGGATCTGTAGAATTTCATCAAAAAAGTGAATGTGCCATTGCAATACAAGCTTTTACCCTGCATATTCAAAAGGAGTTGTGCTTGTATTGTTGGCAGCGTTGATATATTTATTTACATACCCATTTTAGAGTCAAAATGTGGGCTAAAATGGATATTAAAAAATACAAAAACACTGTTTTCTATGTCAAGCCACTGATCCACAAGCATATTGCCTACAAGGACCGGCAGCAGCTGCAGACCAACAGGGTCAGGACCTTCCTTTTTAATCTCCTTTTGCACTGTTATTTTAATCTGACCACTCCAAGCAAGGAGGTAAACATTAAGCTTCCTACTTACAGTTTAACCTTGCCACATGTTGTTGTACCTCCATCTCCCTGGAGGATAGAATGACGCTCCCATGCTGCTGATCTTGCAAAGGACTTGAAGACATGCTTCTTTGTTCAAGTCTTTGGGGAGGATGATTTGAAGGTGCCTTTAAGAAGTGCAAGATTGGTTTTGCTCTTCTCCGTTTTGCTGTCTTACATTGCTTGTTCTTGTTTGCCATTATATTGTTTTATTCCTCTTAATATTGTTTACCAATACCCAGAGCCATTGGGAGCAACCTTTACATTAAGTGTAGTAGACTTTTACTTAATAATCAGAATAAATAAAAGGATCCTGTTCTTAAGAATGAAATGAATCTGCAGATAATGGCACTGGATCCATCCCACAGCAGCTAATTACTTTCCTTGAAGATCTTCTTTCCTACAGTACTCAATAAAGGAAGAAAAAGATTGCAAAAAACAAGCTGAATGAAGGGACATTCATTATCTTTTGCATATATTGATCTTGGACCGGCCAACTTTCAGATAATCGGAGAATAGGGTTTTTTATGTATTTTACATTTTTAATCCCACCTTTATTGTTTTCATAAATAATTCAATCCAGTGAACATACCTAATATCTAACACTAAGTGTTGTAGACTATCTAATCACTAAGTGATTCTTGATTAATGGTTTTTTTTCTTTTATGTATACTGAGAGCATATGCACCAAAGACAAATTCCTTGTGTGTCCAGTCACACTTGGCCAATAAAGAATTCTATTCTATTCTATTATAATTCTAACTCTAATCTTCCTCCTATTTTCCCCACAACAAAAACCCTGTGAGGTGGGTTGAGCTGCAAAAAAGTGACTGGCCCAACATCACTCAGTTGGCTTTTATGATTAAGATAGGACTAGAACTCACAGGCTCCGGGTTTCTGACCTGGTGTCTTAACTGGCTCTCATGACTATCTGGCAGCTTGCCATTTTTGCCCTTCCAAATTTTATAAAGCCATGTAGTAGACCCACCTGATGCTGTCGAATTGAAGACAGGAGATATTTGTTTTCCACAAACCTTTGGGTCTTTTCATCTAGCAAAGCTCCAGCTTTGGGGTAGTAGCTTGCTTCATCAGTGCCATCACCTGTTTTCCAGGAACCATTTTTCTCTAATTCCAGTGCTTGTGTCAGAGTTGTCTCTCCCTGTGTTGTCTTTCTGGTGATTAAAAAAATGCACAGGGGGGGAAAAAAGAAAGAAATATTATTATATAGTACAGCCTTCATTCTGCTGGAGGATTCAGTCTTTCCTTGGTAGATTGAGGAACTCACAGGATATAACCAAGATTAAATTTTTAAAAAAATGATACATAACCATACTTTTAACTTAATTTTTGTAAAAAAAATGCAGACTTTCAATAGGAAAGGAGATCATTATAAAGCTGTTTGGATCATGGAAAAGAGCTCCTTGATTAAAAACAGAAACTATGCAAAAGACAGTGTAATGCTCCCAGTAGATCCTAAGCTGTTGCTGGTCTTCTACCAATAGCTCATCACTGTCCCAAAGCCTCCATTAAACAAGAGATGGGGCAGAGAGTTCCAAATTAATATCACAGTGCACAAGAGGTTTAAAAGAAAAGGAATACTCCCATGCATAGCCTGAGGTATGCTGCATAGACAACATAAAACACAAGTTTCCTGTGTTCTACAAAGAAAGAGAGACAATTTTTCCACATGCAGGAAAAAGAACAAAAATCTAATATGAATTCCTGCTAGACTTTTTAATCTTTTTTTCTCCCCAGAAATAATGCTGTCTGAAGCATCTGTTCCACATTTCGTGGATTTCCTCTTTCTCAGAAACTCCACTAAATTAATGTTGAGGCTGCTGGGAAGGTGGAAGGAATCCTTTTTGTTTTCTCAGCATTGGCGCACAGCTTGTCAGTTTCTGCCCTCACATTTAAAAAGACCTAAGGTTTGCTGGAAATCTGAGAAGGTTATAGTAATTTGCCTGGGTGATCATGTGACAAACAAACTTCACCAATGCAATATTACAGATCTGACTGACTGTGAATAATTGAGTTTGATTGGCAAGCAAAGAAACTACATGCAGCACCAACTAGTTCCATGATGGTGTACCTATGGCACGTGTGCTGGAAGTGGCACACAGAGCCATCTCTCTGGGCACACGAGCTGTTGCCCATTGCTCTTCTGGGTTCTGGTGCACTGGCCAGTTGGTCTTCATGCATGTGGCAGCACTGGAAACCGGAGAAGCAGCTGCCCAGCGAGCTGTTCTTCACACACGCGTGCCCGTCAGGTGGCCAGTGCGCATACACATGCCGGAAACCAGAAGAGCATCTTCCTGGTGCACACATGTGCACCAGGCTGCTGCTCTTCTGTTTTCTGGCAACGCGTGCATATGCGTGCTCCCATTTCAGCACTTGGTGCTGAAAAGATTCGCCAACACTGAACTAGTTCATACCTTGTGAGTTCCAATTATATTGCCTTTGTCTCACCGGATGATTTAGAAATGCCAAGAGTTCCCCCCAAAATACCCCCAATGAAATAAGGTCTGACACGAAGCTCTTTCCAGATGTAGCTAACCTGGACCCAGGCTTCTTTGGGCCGCTTCTTTGAATACTCAGTCAGTAGAGGTGCAGTGAAGGGCTATTGAAAAGTTTTATTGGACTCTTGATGTAAAATAGTCTCAAATCAGGAAGTGGACAATCCAAGGCTGCTTAAGAGACACACTCAGGGAAGAGACAAGTGTCATTAACCTATGTCTTTGGGAGAGAGTTTTGGAAACAATTTATATTCTATTTGATTTCTGAGATGCTAAATTGGAGGGTTTCCTTGTTTGTTAGAATTATGATCATATATTAATGTGTAATCACTCCAAGGACTATATGTTGCTCTGCTAAAGTGTGGGAATTTAGTCTTCAGGTTAAGGCTTCCTTACTGTAGTGTTTGAAGTAGGATCCAAAACTAGATATTCTTTTCCCCCCTGAATTTCTTCCCTCGACAAAATAATAGAATAATAAGACCTGGAGCAACTGTAATTGATTCCATCTGATTAGTTTCAGTGAAAAGCTTTTTTTAAGCAAACTAAATCACAGCATCACAAAAAAAATAAAATCCCCCCCCCCCAAAAAAAACCCTGCCTACTTTCCATTAAAATTGCTGGCAGATGCTGTATCACATACTTCAGTTTCCCTCCACTGCTATATAGGCTGAGTAAGCTTGCCATTAATGCATAATTCATGTCGATAGTAAACCATAAAATCATGGTTTACAAACTGCATTAACAGGGTTCATACAATCGGTTAATACAGTTTAAATAATAGCAATAGCATTTAGACATCTGTACCACTTTGTAGTGCGTTACAATCCTCTAGTAAGTGATTTACAGAGTCAGCACATTGCCCCCAACAATCTGGGTCCTCATTTTACTGGCCTTGGAAGGATGGAAAGCTGAGTCAACCTGAGCTGGTCAGGATTGAAGGAATCAAACTCACGGCAGTGAACCGTGAGTTAGCTTGCAATACTGCATTCTAACCACTGCACGACCATGGCGCCAAACAGACCATACCATGGCGCCAATACAATCAATAATTTGGCTTCACATAAAGTATTGATTGTATTTTCATTTGCTTATAAGTTGCTCAGAGAAGACTGTTAAGAGGCAACAGATATATATTTTATAAGTAAATAATACACGAAAGATATTTCTTTGCCAGAATGTATGTGAGCCACCTTTTCAGAGAATGAGATATGATAAGTCTATATATTACGTTGTCCTCACCCTTCTCATCTGCTGTTGCTTATACATCTGTATGTGTACATTGGGAACCTTTTCAGATTAGATACAGACACGGGGCTCTATATTTGGATACACATGATTAGCACAGACTATCATTTGCATATAATTGAAATATGCTAGATAACAAGTTGAGATAACAGGTTTTTGCTGGATTGATTTGCTGCTTGATGCTAATTATACTCCTATTTTAATTCTAGAAACCTTGGGAAGTCTGGATTAAGAGTTTCTTGTTTGGGACTGGGTGAGTATATTATGTTTCAGAGTGTCTCTGTGTATATTTGTTGGAGATACTGGTTAATTTGCATAACTTTGTTGATGTTAATGCTAAAGAAGTAACGGAATAAAATACTGTGACAATTATTTGTGTTCAAAATCATAGTGGTGTTGCATTTCTATCTTAGATAATCAAAATAGACTTGTGAGAGTATTATCCACAGACACATTCACTGTGTTTGTGTTTCTTGGTGTTACAGTAGTAAGATCAGCTGTTAATTATTTATTGTACTTTTATCGTTCCCAATGAAAAGATGTCACCCATTTTCCTATGTTGGGAGCTAGGCAGCTTTTAGATGCAGCCTTCTGGCTTCTCCATAGGTTGGACTGTAATTTTCATTATTCCTGAGCCATCTACTGTATATCAATTTGGGAAAGATGGACACTAATCATCACATACATGCGCTTCAAGGAAAAAAGCAAAATAAATTGAATGGATAAATGTGTTTCAAGGAGTGCCTGAATACAAAAAGTCAGACAAATATATGTTCGATATTTAATTTGATTTGTGTGCATGCAGAATACTCCATCTGACATGAAGTCAGATTCATATTTCTACAAAACTGTTCTATAGACAGAAATTGTCTCCTAAAGGGGGATGTTCCTAAGGGGTAGATATCCTTGTTTGCTTTTTTAGAACTGTCATCTTCATTTATTTCCAGATTCAATTGGTTCTTTTCTTCTTGCCATGCAGTATTATAATGCATTGGATATATGATTTTCCCCACAATTATCATAATGTTAAAAAATTCTAAATAGATTTCTCACAAATGAAGATAAGAATAATTTGAAAAGCAATCATATGATCTATAGATTCAAATCTTACTTCTGAGAAAACAAGTCATAAAAGATTTGAAGAGGAAGAAAGATTAAGAGAACATTCAAGGCCCATTCTGTGAAGGTTATGTGGTCATAACCTTCAAAATGGGTTGGGAGCACAATTTCCAGTCTGGCTTGACCATACTTAACTAGGCATTCTAAAAGTTTTACTCCCAATAAATATTGGAAGTGCTAGGCTGTGGTTTATTCTTTGATCTTTGGGTACTCGGTATCTAAAAGGTTCACCATCACTGGTCTAAGGACTATACCAGTCATGATATAGGACAGAAAGGCAGAGGACTAGCAGAGTATATTTAGGAAGACCAGCTAGCAGTCTGAAGACACAATGAAAACTCTTCAATCTCATAACACATGGACAGAGTCAACCATACTTTTAACTGGGGAACCATGAGCATCCTAGGCCAAGAACACTAGGGGATTCTTGGAAACTAGGTATTCAGATAAACCAGCCACCAACAGACAGACATAAATAGCAATAGCAGTGGACTTATATACCGCTTCATAGGCCTTTCAGGCCTCTCTAAGCGGTTTACAGAGAGTCAGCATATTGCCCCCAACAATCTGGGTCCTCATTTTAC